TTCTTTTCCTTTCCCCCTGTTCATAATGAATGAGCGGTCTCTGAGTTTCACGAGAAATTGTGGTGCTGAGAGCGAATGACGAATGACTACACAATACAATACACAATACAATTGATAAAACCAAATTATCCAATCATACGTCAGTATTCTCCTTGATATGGTGGTGCATAAATCGCATTTGGAAGAAATGAAAATGAAAATAAAAAATGACATTTCGAGTGAAAGATTCTCCCAGTAGACTTTCCTATCGCCAAGCCTGTTAAGCTTCGTTTGTGTCTTATAAATAACCAAGAAAAACCGTGCCTAGATAAAAGATCAATCACGAAATGAAAACACATCTAAGGTACTCAGATAGATTCAGAGCCAGATGTATATAATAATTAAGACAGACATGTACACGTCATTAGGGGTAAAATTAATATTTCGTGAAAACGGGTGAGAAGAATGTTGCCCTTTTTTTCTCTCTAGTTTCAGTCTGTCTTAATTACAGGTCAAAACTAATCAATCGCTTTTGTTTTTTAAATTCAACGAATTTCGACGGGTGAAAACAAAACGGGACTCTTGAGTGAGTGAATATACACTTATTATGTTTTTTTTCTGTCCAAAAGAAATCGTTTAGGTTAATGAAAACCTCGATTTTCGATTAAAGAAAGGTTTAAACTTCCGTCACGAGGTTAAGACAAATAAAAATAGTAATCTACGATTCACAGAAACCTCGTTAGCGAGCCAGGACATGGGGGCATTAGTGTAGACTAGTCGTCAATGAGTTAGAAAATCTGATATCTCTGGGAAGATTAAACGGATAACCTTTCATTTTTTGTAGCGATGTTGACGTGTCTAAGTAACAAAGGGCCATTGAATCACATAGATAGCTTTTTCAGCCTTTTTTTTGTCGGTATTGTGACAGGATGAAAAGAAACTGGTTCGATATCGAGACAATCAAGTCGTTAGCACAAAGGGTGAACGATTTTCTTTGGTGAAGCAAGAGGAGTCTGAGGAAATGAAGAAGACATATGTGAACATCAAACCGGCACGGAAATATCGATTCCACTGATGTTTCAAATTCTATACCGAACGTGGATGAACTGAACCCGCGCAGAAGATATTCAAGCCTTCAAGACATACGCCATGGCAGGAAACTTGTACGATGTGGAAAGGCGAACTCTATTGCAGTTTTTTCTACACCGATTTGACGACAAGTTTTTAAACGCCACAAAATTGAAAGCGATCTGGGACAGAGCGGAAGACGATCGCGCCTTATTCGTTATCAAGTGTTATAGATATGAGAAGGAATTGCTTTTGAGGGCAACTCATAGATAATAAATCATCTTGCTTAATGAATTTAAGGCCATTACAGGCTTTATAATTTAAAGCTTTCTTCCTCGCCAAGACGAAATACAATTTTAGTTCTGTTTACCTAAAGAAAACGCCTTAAGCGACATAAGTCATGTTAAATTTGGACGTAGATCGATGTAAATATCTCTTTATTGATTTTTCTATTTTTAATCGTTTTGTTTGAACATCTTTATCACTTTTCGTGTTTGCCTCATGTAACGTGTCGTAACACAATTCACAACGTCTTTTCCACCGTGCGTAGGTTTCAAGATTGTCATATTTTTCAATTCAAGTAATTGATTTTTTTATTTCAGGATCGTAAAGTTCTTGACAGCTTTTGACAATGTTGTGTTTGCTTTTTCGGTGCAATCCAAATGTATACAGCTGCACTTTCTAAACAGATTCTACTTCGTCATGTTGGCATTTGTCATTTCTAAGCAATGATTCGAAATTATGACGCATTTTTAACAATATATGATTTTATTTCCTCTTGTTTATACGGTCAGCATAATTAAAATCTGAATTACGTGATAAGCTTTCTATCTTGTGCATACAGTAGCAACTGAAAAGGATATTTTGAAAGACAGGTATTAACCCGTTCATCGAAAAATTACATTCTCGTTTTTATGCAGATCTCGTTGAGTGTACATTCATTATGGTGAAAGACAGCTACCTTGATAAAACACCCACCACATTTCAAAACCTTACTTTAAAAGCGCACTTAAGCTGTATTTTAATATCTCGCTGATAATTAAATACATCAACCAGGCATCTGCCTTTCTATATTTGAGATAAAGGTCAGTAAATTCTATTAAGTAAAACTTAATCTTTATTCGTTTTGATATTAGTGTAAGAGGAACTGAATTTCTTTTTTTTTTTTCTTTTTTTCTTTTTTTTTAAATCATTTTTTCAGTGCTAATTCAAAATTCGAGACTTCGTCCTATTAACCTTACCAGCTGTTCTTTGTTTTACAATTCGGTCAATAAACGAGACACCCTTGCATTATCTTTTATTTTGTTGAGATCTTGTGAGGCTTTTCCCATGCATTAACTAGAGATCTGTGAAATATTTATTAGCGCCACTGACTGCAAGTTTAATGTGGAAGGAGTTGTTACAGCGCTTGGGGCAGGAAATTCACTCGTGTTATTCCGTGAAAGATGCTGTTCCCTCCGCGACCGCTGCGGCACTTTGTTCAAATGAAAAAGTTTCCTAAATACAGACTTAAAGTCTGGCTTCATGAATGAATACAGTAAAGGATTTACAATAGAGCCAAAGGCTAGCGTGAATGGCGAGAGTAGGGCAACGTGCTTGGGCAATAGCTGCGGCTTCCCGAGTGCGTAGACCAAAGTAGTCCATATAATTGGCAACCAGCTCAAAACAAACATTACGGCTATTACAACGAACACTTTAGTAACCTTTGCCTCCGAGGACACCCTCCTTGCTCTTAAATCTGCTCTGGGACATGCCTTTACGGAATTGACCAGTTTTCTCTCTCTCGTTACAATTTTACGAACTTGGCGGGAAATTCGCACGTAGCTGATAAAGATGCAGACATAAGGTATCGCAATACCCAGAAGGAGAATACAAATCTGATAAATTCTCAGAGCCAAGCCTGCTACATCGCTGTCAGTCCAAGAGAGTGGAAGAACTGCGCAGACTACAGCCATGATCCAACAAAATGCCACGATTGGGAAAAAAGACTTGACGATAGTGTTCGCGTAATTGAAGGGCCTCATACAAGCGACGTATCGGTCGAAAGTTACAGCGCTCAAATTTGCCACACTTCCAACCAAAGCTGTGGTGTACAAGATATTTAGGGTCACTGCTTCTTTTACTGATAGGGCGTACTGAAGAAATAGTGTGACCCCTACCAAGATATCAGACACCGCCAATGAAACGATAAATCCATTGGTGTATGTCCTTAAATTTTTGTTGATACACACCAGAAAGCAAACTACGCCATTAGTGAACATAACAAGGACTGCCAAAATGCTTAAAGGTATCTTTACCTCTGCAGAGACCATTTTCATATGCTACCCACGAAGACCTTCTCAAACTCAAGTCTTGATTACTTCTAACACGTTAATCAACAACTTGTTTCATGCAAAGATTTATCACCTGAAAAGGATATAAAATTTACATCAGCTGGGCTCCGCACATGAAAGCAAAAAACCTTAGCGAACAAGGAAGGCGAGGAAATAGTATTCAACCGGCTCACCGGCCAGACTCACCGGCAGAGTTGTATTAAGTTTTCATCTTTTCACTACCACCAGCGGCAAAAACGGAGTTATTTTGAAAGAGCATTATCCAATATTGTGGATAAGTTTCTCTTAGCGCGCTGCGCACGTAAGCCTTACAGTAACCAATGAAACACGATTTTTCTTGGAAATATATGCACGGGCTTTAGGCAGGATTTACTGTGATGGAAAGTTAGAGTTAACAGTTGCCTCGTTTATTCTTTTTTTCTAATATAAGATTTTGATTGTCCCAAAGAAGCAAATGGAATTTCTAAATTTGTTTAAAAAAATTGAATATGTAAATCGCGTTGCTCAAAAGATTTAAGAATAATGTTATCTGCAGCTGGTTGAGGGAAGAAAACAGGACTTGTTATCTACATTGAGGTTTTTGGAACCTTTAAATCTCGACAACTTTTTTCCGTTTTATTCGAAGAGGAATTCTCAAAGTCAAGGACACGGTCGAGAGATATGAATCACTATTGCAGAGCATTTTGCAGCTGTGTTTTTGTTCATTTGGTTAGTGCAAACAGCTTACCTTTTCAGGAGAAAATAAAAGAGCCAAGTCACGTTGGTTTCATGCCCATGTATTTATGTCGCGTTCAAGACAATGAAGAGTTATATTTTCTCCTGTTTCGTAGATTTGCTGATGCAATAACATAATTACTTCCATTAAGTGAGCTATAAAATGCATGCACTTCGAAATGTAATAAATTTCAATGTCTTCCAGACCGGTGGACGAGGGCGGTTTGTGGCTTGGAACCGAATGGTAAAGCATAAATCTTTGTTTTCGTTAAAAATGTGCTGACTTCCCAAACTACTCTCATCTAATCCCTGCATGATAGTGTTCCAATGCCTCAAAGGTGTTGGCACTGTCTTTTAAGTGCACCAAATGATTACAAAAGGGGTTGCCTCCAAGCAAACATAACTTTCTTTTTTTGATTACGTTCTGTCGGAAGTTAGTCAATTGAATTAAGTAGCTCAGAAAGAAGGGGAATTTCAAGGTCGTTCGTCTACGGTAGAATGAAATTAATTGAAGAACTCTGTATTTTTAAGAAATGCTTCAAAATTGGCTTATTGACTGAATCTGTTCTTTTTTTATCCAAATCTCCTGAGGGCCCTGTCACCAGTCGTCGGTGCTATCAAAGAAAAATGACTTTATGTCCCTCTTTCTGGTTCTCGAGTCGTCTTCGGTCGCCAGAAAGAGCCGAATGAAGCTTTCATTGGCTTCATTTTGATGAAAAGCATTTTGGTTCTATTTTTATCCCATCCTCATCATAATTTCTGAGATAGAAGACCGCTGGAAGAGAGCCAAACACATTTCCAGAAGAATTTAAATTGTGAGTTTTTTTTATAGTAATGATTGCTGTGTTTTGTTATAATCCCTGTCAACCAATGGTCGGTGAGTTCACTTCACTTTTATCTGAGAAAGCGTCGTAAACTAACAGTTTTAGACTTCAAACATTTGCTAAGCAAACAGCTAAAAGCCTCAATAAGGAGATTTTCAGCATCTGTTCAAGTGACGCCACGCAGGAGGAGTAAATGAATACGATATTGTTGGGATAGTCTAAATTTAACCATAATGTGATTATTCTTCCATTAAAATGCGATTTTTTGGATCACAATAAATCTAATTCTGGAAGGGGCAAAAATTTTCAATAATCATCACCAAAAAGGAAATTTTACTTTTTATAGACTCAATAATTCATCACAAAATGAATTGCAACTTGAACACCAAGAGTGTTTGTTTTGACTCGGAGTTCCGCACTCAGGTGATCACCTGCCATTGTAAGTCTGGGTATTGGTGATAAAGTACTTTTTCTAGGTAAATATACCACAATCTTGCAGTTTTTGAGCGCCATAAACTCACCCGGAATTTTGGAGAAAATAATAATATTTTAAAAAAGTGGTCACTCGCCACACGACTCTTGATTTACAAGTATTTGAGATTGTTCTTTCAATACCCCAAGTGGGTGAAGGACGACATAAAACCCGTGAAAGCTGGTCTATTGCATTTATGACTTGACAGAAAAAAACGTTTGTTGCAGGAAGACAATAGATGTTCTCCTAATTTCATAATTATTACCGAGTCACGAAAGTCTCGAGAGGTCGTGAGAAACTAGTGAAAGCACCCACTTAAAATGAACAACAGTGCTGAGGCAGAATGAAGAACCAGTGAGAAGAACAAGAGCTTCATTAACAAGAAGGCACCAGGAAACATGCGCTCCAAACATAGTTATTTTGTAGGGTAAAGTAACTGAGATGTATTTCAGATCCCCTTGTATTCAGTTTCGTGAAGTAATACAACTAACAATTAATAGCATTCTTTATCCTACTGAAGTGATAACAAGCGACGACAAAAATCATCTCTACCAACATCGTGAGCAGCAAGTTAAGAAACTGAATCCACCAAGTAGGTATTATTCCCTCATCATTTCCTTCGGTTGCCGTCACTTTGAGAACAAATCAGAAACCTTGCAGTGCACGCATGACTTCTCAAATAGAATTACAAAACAGAAAACACCAGAAAGCAAACTACTACAAAACAGCCATGTTGTGAGCCCAATTCTGTTACGTCACAGGTAAGCTTTGGCTAGGTTCCTAAGGGATATTCAAGCTAGAAGCTTTCGTAATCGAAGTTTTGAGGTTACTTTTTCTTACAAAACGCAATCAGTTTGACTATCCCTTTGTGAGCGAGGACAATCATAATCATTTGGCCCCTACAATATATCTCTCGTTTGAAATGTAACAATAAATGTTACACAGACCTTCAATAAAGTTAGTGTTTTGGTACTGAATGAACAGACGTGTATTGAAGGTCACCCTTGTCGAAAAAAATTAAAAGAGAGTAATTCAGTGCTTAATTTCCGAATTGTCCTTAGATCGCCGAAAACTGGGGTTATAAAAAAATGGTAATGGTATGTGCTAAGGAATGAGGCCTCTATGGTAGATTCATTTCTTAACCTGATACACTCTTGGGGAGTTTATATTTCTTTCATAGTTGCACTTGCTTTGTGGATAATTTCATGGACAGTTTCATAGAGAGGGAGTTCTGTTTTCATGAAAATCAGACTCACATGACGGCTGCATCGAGTAAAAGTGAGGGAGTCCTAATAAGGATAATTCTCGAATCAATATTAATGTTATCTGTCTTACTGCCTTCATGATAGTGTTTCAACAACGAACTGCTTCAAACTTTTCTTCATTCTTGTATTGCTTGTAGAAAATGAAATATTGTTTTTTTTTTATCATTGCTGGAAATGGCACCATCACTAACACAAATTTGCTCTTAAGATGGCATTTATGCCAATTGTCCCTCGTAGATTTTCGGAAAAGATCGGTAGAGAATTTACCAGTTTACCGGAAAAGAAAAGGAGCTTCTTTCAGGTTTGTGAATCCAATATCGGCTTAGGTTTTGTAAGTTTGCCCTTCGCAATATGAGGTAATATCCGTCATTCTTGACCGAATAATTTTACCTTGATGGAACCTCTTAAGCTTATCCAACTAATATTTCGAGGTTTTCCTCCTATTCAATGGAAAATTTCCATAATCCCCGCTTAAAAATACTTAGAATATTGGTAGCTTTCGTTTGTTTTAAAGTTGCGTTGACATCTACCTGAATCGAGAGTGACACGACAGTAACGAAGGTCGTTATCGCAAGAAGTGACCTCATTTTTGTCCTGTCACTGAAGAAAGGGCCGATATTGTCAGTAAACACTGCTCGAGCCGCTTAAAGCTATTGTTTGGTATTCTAGAGTGAAATAACTCTGTCACTGAATGAATCGGCTATTTAAACGATATTTTATGAACAGCTTTCATTGTTAGCCAATCAAAAACGTTTACAAACAACTGTGGACGATATTTGGTCAGGATAAGAATTGAATCGTCTTTTGGGTGTACTCCTTGCTCAAGCTGCGAAGAAATAGCCTAATGTGAGCAATAATTTAGGTCAACTTTTATATATGACAAGAATATGAATAAGAGAGAGTTTTTTTACAACAAATGAGCAGCTGTAAAATCATATAATAAAAAGTGTTTCCACGAATTTCTCACAGCACGAAAACGAGGCGTGGGTTTGCAGGCATCACAAACGCCTTGTGGTGTAACATGCATTTTTCGGCAATGTTTAAAAAATGCAGAAGTCTTGGCCATACTCTCTCGGATCCAAATCGAAGCGATCTGAATTTTATATTTTTCTACAGAAGGCCGAGATTTTCTTTGTTTGTTGTGGAGCAGATGAAGATCACTGTATAAAAAATAAGGAGAGAGAAACACTGGAAGTTAAAAATGTATTTATAATAGCGATACCTGTTTTCCGCTCATTAAGTATTGAAAGAAAAAGTGCGTCGGCCGGGAATCGAACCCGGGTTAACTGCTTGGAAGGCAGCTATGCTCACCACTATACCACCAACGCTGTTCATGAAAGTAAATTTAAATCCTCACAATAGATGACCATCAACTTTGTCCACGTACCAGTTTACGTAGCAGGTAAATAAACAAACACCTGCAATGAAGATCCAAAGGCCGAAGTTGAGCTATGAAATGGAATGGACGGAACTCCAATGGAGCGGTGAAAACGTTCAAAATAAAGTGGCGTTAAAAATCGAGGAGGTATTGAAACGAATCGAAAGAGGAAAATCCAAATGTTATAAGTGTTGATCGCCGGCAGGATATAGAATTCTTTGATATTGCTTTCACAGCATCAGCATAAGGGAAAGAACATTCTAAAAGCAGCCTGTTTCATGTTCATTCATCCAAGGATGAACATAGGCGTTGCACAACTCGTGTTACATTTTACAGTGGCAAGCGCTATATACCTGGAGAACTAAATATTACCTAGAAATTCATGCTATAAGGACAAAATGACTGCGTCGACCGGGAATCGAGCCTGGGTTAGTTGGTTGTGAGGCAGCTATGCTCACCACTATACGGAAAGAAAGAGTAATTGAGAAAAAGGGCACTTCTTGGTATAAACGTTTTGATTTATTGTACTTCATCAATTTCAAAGCAAAGACGATTCTGGGTTTCCCTGGGATCCAGATTCCTAATCCAAGGAAATACTACAGTGGTTAGTGTAGCCTCATTTTTCTCTGCAATTTAGAGATAATATGAATTCATGGGTATAAGTAAGCAACTAAAAATAGCACGAGTAACGGTTGGTAATAACGATATTAAATTTATGAAATTATGATTTGGTAGCTCCGCAAATTTACTTTAAAAAAAAAAGAAGCAAACATTGTTTTGCAGGTAGTATAAGCACTGCATTGCATGCAAATGATAAAAATGAAAATAACTGGGGAATATCCAGGGTTCTTTTTACAGAAGTGGTACGTAAAAAGGAAGTGTTTGGCGTCTCTGTTGGGGGAGTCTCTGCACCAAACTTTGTCAAGAGCCCCGTTTTAAATAAGGTCACTGAGAGGAAGGGGAGTAGTTTTGGTCGTGTTAATGTAATATCACTCTAAGCAGGGATTGCAATCTTCTGCCTCTTTTTCGACTAAATGCATTATGAGTCGGGAAAGGTTGCACTCTTCCCTTGTACACTGTTCGTCATACAAGAATCTGATGTCAAGTCCCTCTCACATAAAAAGTTAGACTTCGTTTGTATTTCTCCACGATTTTTATTAAACAGAAGAAGGTCACCCTCAACAAAAAAACTAATAGATCAAAGAACAACAAATCAGGTTAATTCCAGAATCTTCCTCAGGTCGCCGAAAACTGG